TTTAGGGTTTAGGGTTGAGGGACCGGGTGTACACATGAGCACAGGAAGGAGGCAGGACCAAGTCGCAAGACACGGGATCATCTGTGATTGCGCTACGTCTGCAGCCTGAGGCAGACGAGGGGACGTTCGAGGCTGTAGCCTCCACCCGGCCTTTGACTTCCTGAGGGTTAGGGAGTAAGGGAAGAGATTATGTGATTTAGGGGTTTAGGTTTTAGGGCTAGTAGGGAATAAGGGACCATGTCCATGTAATACTGAGATTATATATAACAAGGGTTTCAACCCCTTCTGAAGGAATCGTGTTGACATACTCAACCCTCCGCCCAAAGCCCCTAGACCCTGGACCAAATTCCCTAACGCCTGAACCCAACACCGAGAACCCTCAACCTTAATCCACCCGGACCATGAGGGTGATGGCACAATCCATAGCCCGTTGAACTGTAGCCGCGTCCACCTTCCCTGAACCATGTAATTAAAGGGTTTCAAGGCATAAGGACTGGGAGTGTCGGATTCGGAGGGTTAGGACTTACGGTTTGAGTAAGGAAAACCGTAGAGCCGGGTCCTGTCAACGAGACAACACCAGAACGCTGAAACCCAAACTCTGTGCTGCCTGGGGGGCCACCGAACGATGCCTGATGCAGCGCTTGGGCGCTTTTTGCTTTGAGAAACAGAAGTTTCTTGCACATGAGGGGGGATGCTTGGGAAAACATGTTGGGGCGGAGAGCTGAACTTGGAAGAGGGGGATTTGAGGTCCCCTTACTGCACTTAATGAACATGTAACACAACACGGCTTACTACAGTGTCAAACAATCCTGCGGCATTGTGCCAATCCCGTAACATGACAATCACTGCTCTACATGCGACTGAGAATCTGCATGGGGTTGAGAGCCATAATACTAGCGGTCCATAAAGAGCCCCTTTCTAGCTCTAGTTTGCTCGGCTAGGGGGCGGGGCGCCTAGTTGCTTTCCCTGATATGACACGGCCCCACCCTCACCCAAGCATGTCAAATATGCCACTCTCCGATTTTCGCATTCCTATACTACTTAATGACAGGAGGGGAGGGGCGAGCATTTTCTGGTGGAGAGACAACTCAATTGGAACAGGAGTCGAGGTTGGATGACATTTCACTAATTATCCCTTCTGCTAAAAGGAAACAGGTTGATAAAAAAAACCTGGGTGTTTCAGGGCTTTTTAAGGGTTTGAAGGTTCGGAAGTCATCTGCGGAGTGCTCCAGGCAGCCATTTTGGATGCCTGTGAACAAATGCTGGGCTTGTGTACTTTTAGGTTTGGGGAATGTCCAAGCATAACGTCGTGCATACGATCACGAGAGCATCCATAAACAGAATTCCGCGTTCCAAGAGCACACGGTGACCAGAGCATCCATGCCCAAACCATGATTCTTTTCGTGTTCCAAGAGCAAACGGTGACCAGGGCATCCATGCCCAAACCCTGATTCCGCTCGTGTTCCAAAGAACATACGGTGACCTGCATAAATGCCCAAACCATAATTCCGGTTGTGTTCCAAGAGCATACGGTGACCAAAGCATCTATGCCCAAACCATACTAACAATCGTGTTGAAAGAGCATAGAGTGACCAGAGCATCCATGCCCAAACCATATTTCCGTTCGTGGTCCAAGGTGCTACCAGCTCCCTATAGAGCAGGATTTTGGGAAGGCCTTGGCATCCATCAGCTAATATATTCAAGTTCTAATTTGTTCCATGTTGCTTTTCCTTTTGTCATTAAAATAGCACCGAAACCACAGTAATAAGCACATTCTTGAACATAAGAGTTCCTTTCCTAATTCCCCCGCTGGTAACCAGGCCTTCCCCTAAAACTTGGAATCTGCCCAAAACGCAGGCGAAAACCAGTTCAGCAAGCTCAAAGCACCAGGTTTTTTACGTGCCTGTGACCTGCTAAAAGTATACCAAAAAAAAACAGAGAGCCTGTAAGGGGACAGTCTTCCTAGCTGTCCAGGCTTCCAGCTCCATCGCCTACGCGATGAATTGTTGCTGGGTTCTTTGATGCCGGAGAATGAGACACTGGCAGCCACACCTTTTCAAAATTGCAAACACATGAGAGTTGTCGAAAATGGTCCCATATACATATGCAGAATACTTGAGGTGGGGCACTTGCAATCTCCTCATAATCCCCAAATTGTCCCAAGGGGAGGCCAAGGCTGTGCTGCAGACCTGAGACCTATCCAAAGTTGGGTGGCTCCGGAAATTAGAGGCCCCTTTTTTCACGTCCAAGCGTAAGCAAGCATAGGACAATACTGCGTAACGAGTCCCCACTTTGCGTCCCCCTGTAGCCTCCTGCATCAACAATGTTATCCCCATGAAATGACTCTGAAACGCCATTAACCCCAGACCCCGAACCCTAACCCCCAAACCCCGAACTCTAATCCGCAAAGCCTAAACCCTTAACCTCTAGTCCCCAAACCCTTAAACCTAAACCCTAAGCCCTAAACCCTAAAAACCCTAAACCCTAAAGCTAAAAACCCTGAACCCTAAACCCCAAAACCCCCTAAAACCCTAAACCCTAAACCCTATACAATCCTAGCTTTCGCCCGGGTCCCGAACGGCTTGGGCTTGGGTGGCCGTGGTGGGGCCAACCCGGCCGACCGGGGACGGACCTGGGACGGTAGGAGGATTAGGGTTTAGGGTTTAGGGGTTGAGGGGTTGAGGGGTTGAGGGGTTGAGGGGTTGAGGGTTCAGGGGTTGAGAGTTTAGGGGTTTAGGTTTTA